ACATAGCTAGGATATAATGCCGTCGGATGTCAGTACTCTGTCCCTGTTATTTCTTGCTTCCACCTGGTGGTCAAAGGCTGAAAAAGCAGGCGAACTGAAACTAACTGGGCGTCAGCAGGGTCCCTCTGCCTATGTTTTATAGTACGACTGATTCTGGGTTCCTGCAGGGCTTTCAGGATTGCTTTCCTGCCGTTTGATTTTCACTAAGTTCCTACAGTGGAAAAATCTTTCCATGTGCAGTGTTCTTTTCTGGGGCTGAAAGCTCCAGGATAATCCCGGATGCCTCCCTGCAGCTGAGCTCATGTCACAGATCAGGCATGATTTTCAGCAGATATTTCTTTAAAAGTTTGGAGGCCTCTGTGGACTCCAGTCCCTTCTCAATGGGAACAAGCATCAAAGAGACAGGAGTAAAATGCTTTGCACGCACTTCAGGAACTAATTGCCAATTTGGCAAATGCATTGACTAATGTCATGCACTGTTATTTCTAAATCCTCTCCTGTCCTTGACCCCCAGTATCTAGATGTAAACTTGGAACCATTAGTGGAGAAGGATAAAGTCTTCTGGTGCCTCGAATGGAATTGAGAGGGATTTAAACTCAGTGCTTTTGAGTGTGGTGAAATGAACCCAGCAGTACATTAATGCTGGGATTTGAGCTCACACAGCATGAGGGCTTTCATAAACCGTGTTTAAGGAAGCAAACAGCTAGGACAGACCCTTTCAGTGGAGCAAACTGAGTCGGATGAAACAATCAGTGGCACATTAAAAACCACAACTGGGCTGCAATCATGTGGGCAGAAAAAGAAGTTTTTCTTTATCACAGGATCTTTGCATCTAATGAAATGGTGACTGGACAACCTCCAGAGGAGTCAGGCCTCCGTTTACTTTAGCTGAGAAATGTCTAAATATTTGGTTGATTCTCTTAAAAGCTTTACATGATTCTGTAGCAAACTGGTCTCAAAGGTACGATCTTATTAGCTCTATATTGCCATTGGAAAATCTATTTGAAGGGAATTTGGAAAAGAAAAGTCAAAAGATATTACCACTGAAAGTACAAATGTTAACTTGTTTTTTCCCTCTCAAAATTAACTGTGTTTCAAGTCATCCAAATGCTTAGTTTAGGACCAACACCTTGCAGTCAATACTTCTCTTCATTGATTCTAAATGGTTCTCTACTTCTTTTATACGCTTTATTCCTGGTGGTTCCAGTTGGACCCAAAGGGTGTGAGCTCAAAAGGGAAGGACTCTTGAGTGCATTTTCTTGGAGGCAGGAGAGGAAGCTAAGAGGGCTGAGGGAATTTGTAAAAATGTCTACAAGCGTCTGTCCTTTAAATGCACACTACTGCCTTGTATTAGCAGATTTTAGCCAAGATCACTAACCTGTTTCCTTCAAGTTTCTAGGATCCTCTCTGCCACAAACCCAGGACATCCCAGGTAAGGCATCAGCTGGGGCTGTAAACCTTTTTGGATTTTGTCATAGTGGAATCCCGTCTAGCATGCCATTCTTTAAGATTGCTTCCTGTGGACTCTTACTAAAGATCACCAAAACGTCTCCCCTCCCCCACTGCTGGAGTCCAGCACAGCCCCAGTTCACGGCTAGTTTGATTAATGTGTCTTGGCTAATTGTGTGAAAGATGGCAGGCCTTTAGCAAGTGTGACCAGTTTATTGTTCAGCCAATCACAGGCATCTCAGTTAGCATGTGAAAAGGGGGTGTGTTGCCAGGGGAGGGTGAGCGTTCTGGCGGCTGAGTCAAAGGAGGAGCATTTTGGGGGGTCACAGAGCAACACCCACTTCTTTGAGGGGATGTTACTATGCTCTACTAAACCTGTAAAACTCTTACTCAAAGCACTTTTTTTCTCCTCCCTCGTTTTTTCAAGGAGATCTTTTTTCCCATGGTGCAACCAGGCAGGCCACTGGCTGCTCCGCAGATGGAGTTCACGTTCCAGGGTTTTTAATATTTCACTTTTATATTCCTGTTAGGGAATGATCTGCTGAGAGCCTGGGAACCCGTGCTCGTCGGAGCCCTTCACTGACATGGGGAGATAGTGCTCTGAAAGCTATCCCAGGAGAAAAGATGAAACAAAAAAAGCCTACTTTAAAGCCTACTTCTCAATCTGCCCACATCAAAATAAGACAACTGGCCCTTTGAAGTGGAGGACAGAGTTCTCAGCCAGCTTGCTTAAAATGGGGAGGTGAAAGGAAGGAAGGAAAGCAGGAAGGAAGGAAAGGAGGAAGGGAGGGAGGGAGAAAAGAAAAAGAAAGAAAGGCAGGCCAGTGTCTAAAATTATACACCTCTCTTCCCTTGCCCAGATTTAATCAGGCACAAGCGTCTGAATTTATGGCTAGAATACCTTCAACCCTGCTCATCGGCATCCCAAGAGAACAGGTAACTAGTCAGAGAAACTTGTCCAGCTGGGTCTACACAAGATGTTGTGTTTTTTTAATTTTTTGTTTTAAACCTGTACAAACAGAAACTGTTGTCCTCCTAGATATAGTGCAGACAAGCTCTGGGAAGGGCAGAGTGGGCCTAGATGGACACTGGATGGTTCTCCCAAGTTCTGAGTTCTCCGGCTGCCTCAAAATTGCTGTATGACTGAATTCAAAGTTTGGGGGCCCTTACTACTACTTAGAATGAAAAGGAAAGGAATGGGAATTTCATCCAGAATGATGTTAACAGTACTCCTTTATGACACTTTTTTGGCCCCTGTCTCCTCTTCTGTTCCCTGAATTATTGGAGCTCAAGTGTGTGGAAACAGTGCAGCAGCTTGGGTATGGGGTTCCCGGGGAGGGGGCTCACAGGGGCTTCCTGATTCACATACGGGTGTTCCTGGAACACAGATGTGGATGGCCTGTTTATTTATTTATTCAGATGGCCTTTTAAAAACAGTCCTTATGATTAAGCTACCAAAGTACTAACCCATGTCCAAGATACACTGGACTGTCAAGATTTACAAATGCAAGGTTAGACACCTAAGGTTAAAACACCTAAGGTTATATTCAGCCTGGCCCACACCTACACACTGCCCAAGCCATCCAAGCAGGGCTCACAAATGAGACTCTGTCCACCCCATCTAATGAGGAGGACTGGTGAGAGAGTGGGATGAATTAATACAAACCCACGCTCTTAGAGACTCCAGAGTGTACCATACATCTGTGCAAACCAGCACATAACACAGCACCTGAAAGATGGTAGGTGCTCAAAAATTGTTGACTTATTTGAATTAAATTGATTTCTCACTAGAAAAACAATACAGACTGTGAATCCTATTGATGTTAGGCCTGGAGAATTCTCTTCATAAATAAAAAATTGCACATTACTTTGAAGCAACAGCAAAATGAGAAATGCAACATATTTCTCACTGTTTTATTGGAACCCAGTTATCTTATTTAGTACACATCTGGCAGGGAAGCATTCTGGACAAGTTTCTATCATGATTGTTCTCACCATGGCATTCTGTATGATCACTGTTTATTTGCCTGAACCAACTTGAAACCCAAATGTTTGAAGTTTCAGGGAACAGTATACGCTCACCAGGGCAGCTTTGTTTTGACATCATCCAAATTGTCTTCTATAACCATCTGTGACCCTAAACTTCTGCTTGCAACCATGTTACAAAGCTGAGAGGTCTCATTTTCATCTGGAGAGAATGGGTAGGAAGAGGTATAAGGTAGGATAGGAAAAGATGAGAACCAGGCTCTCCTAGAAGCCATGACAATTGGAAATAGGACCTATTGTAGACTGGACCATGGTCTCTTCAAGAAGCAGGGTTTTTTCCCCTATCTCAGGCTAAAGGGAAAAGCACCATTCCATGCCCTGTGGCCACAAAGTGGCATTTTTCTCAGGTGTCAAACTTGAACAAAATAGAAATGGTGAACCTTCTGGCCATTTAGCAATGCATATGGTCATTTACAAAGCAGCAGAAATGACATTACAGTTAGTCTTTAGCTTGCTGTAGGGTTTCCATAGTCCTGGTCAGTTCAAGCTGCCTGATCCTTATGTAGAGCTGTTTGAGTAAAAGTATTAGAATCAAGAGAAAAGAAAAAGTATCCCCAGCCTCCTGTGTCTTTTGTTTCCTTTAATTGCCCTTTTAATTTCCCTACAATTTCTTCCTCTCATGAAACCCTTCCAGAATAATCTCAGACCAAAGTTTGTAATGAGAACAATTTAGAGAAAATCTATTTTTAGTAATGAGATAATTTAAGAATATAAAGACTAGAAAATCTGACTTGGGCCATATTCCCCCTAATTTTGTTCTTCTTGTACATAGCTACCTCCCCTTAAATTCTGCCAGCAAGAGTCCAGCTTTGCTTCTCTAGCCTCTGATACAGCCTTTCATCCTGTACTTCATTGCCTGTCCTCTCCCTTCTGTCTCAATGTCCTTGAAGTGACTAATCAGATCTGTCTAATATGGCCTTGGGACCATTTTGCAAAGACTTTCCCCTTGGGCACTATTTCCAACACTTCCAGATCCACCTCTAGGAGCCAGTCTTGGAGGACCAACTGTGTGACAGAAAATGGCCAAGTGTTAGGTCTAGAGATAACAGGTACTCTTTTGTATAATCTAGAGACATCACACCTAGACTGTCCTAGGCCTAGTGAGCCTCTACTTCTCCTCTGTGGCATTAGCTTTCTTTTTTTACTTTATGAGGTACAAGAGTTTAGCAAATAAAGTCAAGAATAGTCATGGGGCTCAAAATTGAGGCCACCTTTTGAGTTGCTCTTTTGAGCCACTGTGTATTTGGAAACGGACATGGAACCCACAGTAATAGTCATTTCAAGTTCTTATTCAGCTTGCTACTTGTGTTTTACAGAATTGGAGAACTGACCTAACCTCAGCTACTATTTCAGTGTCCTTGTAAAACGATTAGTCAAGGAATATTCAAATCTAAAAATTCATCTAGACCTATCTTCACTGTTAACAATAAAAGGACACTGTTTGTGTGAACAATACTCTCACATTGCTAATTCTCAAATCATTCAGAAGCTCAAATCAATATTACCTGGATTGTAATTAGGTAGCTGGGAAACTCCAGGCCAGGTATCCTCTGTAGGGACTCCCAACACCTATACGAAGCCAAAGACAAAGGTGAAGGGGGAGACATGGACAGGTTAGGCAGGAAGAGGGAAAAAATTGCTATACATCCCATTATGCCAGCTGATAAACACGAGAAAGAAACTTTATTGTAGTTTCTTGGGCAAAACTATAGTGTATTTGTATGGTTCTGTGATGGTTAATTTTATGTGTCTACTGGGCCTACTAAGGGAGGCCCAGATAGCTGATAAAACATTATTTCTGGGAGTCTCTGTGAGGGTGTTTCTGGAAGAAATTAGCATTTGAATCAGTAGACTGAGTAAAGAAATCCACCCTCACTAATGTGGGCAGGTATCATCCAACAGGTTGAGAGCCCCAACAGAACACAAAGGCAGAGGAAGGGCAAATTCTCTCTCTCTACTGGAGCTTGGACATCCATCTTCTGCTTTTGAACATCAGAGCCTCCAACTGAATTATACTACCAGCTTTCTGGGGTCTCCTGCTTGCAGATAGCATGTCTCACCTCTACAACTGTATGAGCCAATTCTTAAAATTAATCTCTTCTTTCATACTTCTAAATATCCTATTGCTTCTGTTTGGTGAGCTGTATTATAGGTCCTGAGACTGTGTTTTCACTAACTCACTTGTTATTCTGAGGCGATCATACAGCTTTGTTTGAAGTTAGTCTCACCATTAAATATCTATTACATGAGCACCATGTATTAGATGCTACTTTGGGAGCTGGGGATATAAAGAGGCAGGAGTGACTGAGTGTCTTTTTGCCTTGCATCAAATATATGCACAGGATGATATATATATATATATGTGTGTGTGTGTGTGTGTGTGTGTGTGTGACTGTATAATAAATAAATATATGTACGTATGTATGTATGTATATCTCTCAACAGGAGACATTTAGCTTAAATTATGCCTCAGCATGGGCACTCAGCTGTTTCCCAATGTGCTCAAATTAGAAAGGATTCAGATTGCTGACCTTTAGGCAGTGGAATGTTGACTAAATATGATTCCAAACCTAGCTAGTCCTTTCTACCAAATTCATCTCATCTGTTCATTTTCTCTGTGGTTCAGCAGCTTGGAATATGGTATTTGGTTTTTAACTGGTGGGTTGTAATAGTAACAATATCCCTTGAAAAAGAGCTTATTTATGCTTTGGATTACCAAACTGAAGCTCTAGTTTCTAATTACTATGAAAATAAAAGTCTTCGGGAGTATAAAGTCAAAATTTTGGATGAAGTCAGATTTTGGATAATGCTGTTACTGTGAGTTCTCTGGTAGGCATCATCTTACCATTCTTTTAAGATAACCATACCATCTCAGTGTCAGTTCTAAGTGGAAGCTAGAATAACCTTGTTTTTTGAAATATTAGTAAAATACTGGTAGCTTTCATTACACCACTATAATGTAACTCTTCTTAGAAGCATTCTCAATATAACTCTTTTTAGAGGTATCTCTTGTAGAAAAAAATCTAGTATATCTATTTGTAAAATGCTGGATATAGATGCCAGTCCAATTGTTACAACTGGAAGTCAAACACCAACAATGAAAGACAATAATCAATGGGGAATCCAGAATCTTACTATCTACCCTTGCTGAGAGGTACACTTTGTGGCGCCTGTTGAGCTTGTCCTCGAACAAGAAACACCAAAGTGCTATTTTCCCTCATAGAAGAAAAAATTGTGCCACCCAGTAAAATCTTTCTTTGATCCATTCTCTAAACAAACTGAAAAGCTATGGAGAGGATTATAGGCTTTTCCTATCAACTACCCTGAACCTGAGGGAACACTAGGGATCCTGGAATCCATTTTGAAAAACCAACTGGACGAATTCTTCTCTTGTGGGAGAAGGCCAAAGGATGGGAAGTTAATTCTTTGTTTTGAACCTCCCATTTTATGTATTTGCACGGATGAGCCTGTGGGTGGGATTCCCATTTACCCATATGCTTCTGTTGGCTGGCAAAAGCACAATGAGAAAAAGCAAAGCTAGTGAAGAGAAAGCAATCAAAGAAATAAATAATCACCACAATCATATTTTCTCTAAGGTGGAAGTTACCAGAATTGTTAGTTATTTTGTATTATGTTTAATTAAAGCCAACAAGATGGATACCAAAAGTTTTTTAATATTATGCTGAAAGCTTTAAGCTTGGGGTTGTAAAAGTTTGAACAAAAATTCAATACTCTTTACTTGGAAATTTGATGCTCAGCCCCTATTTGAAAGTTACTGAGTTCATTTGCACTTGAGAAAATCACTAAATCTCCATTTCACTGTCTGGGAAACTGAAAACCAAAAATTGTTGATTTATTCTCTCCCTGATGGCTCTTAAAAAGCAGCTAGTGAGTCCTATGTTTGAAACCACAGTGGGCTGCTGGGGCTGTTTTCTGCCTTTGTTGGAATGGAAACTGAAAGCATTTTGATTAATGGACTTAAAGACTGCATAGTTTATTTTATTCTGGTATTAAAACTGTATTGAGGATTATTTGCTAAAAACACTTATTGAAAGAACTAAATTTCTAAAAAATTGATCAGAAACAGGTAACAGATATTCAGATATAAACACACACATACACAGACACACACACAAACACACACACAGAGGCATTCCAGAAAAATGGTAAAATAAAGATTCAGGACTTCTCATTGTTATCTTTATTTCTAAAAGTGAGATTTCAGGATAAATGTGGAGGAACCTTGTGGTTAAAGGTTGGGAGATTAGAATGGACCAGTTGCTTTGAAAGAAGCAATTCCTACATCAAATGTTACAGAACCCAAAATAGCTTTCCTATTCTCATCTGTGTAGACCACATTTAATAAAATGCAAATTCAGGAGCTATTTTAAAGTTTAAATTTCTAATTGCTTGAGCCATAGTAGACAACACACAGCTGAATGTGGTGACTTTCTCACATTGTCCTCTAGAGCGTGCAAACGTAGATGTGATAACAAAACTGTGATTTCTACCTGTTGGGGCTACTAAATCAAGATAGAGGAGTTCGAGAAAAGACAAGTTTCCTCCCCTGCACACAAAACCCCACTCTGGCAATATTTCCCAAGACACCCATATCAGTGACTGTCAGCAAGGATGCTCCAGATGCCTGCTTGAAGCAAGCAAACTTGAGAGGGAACAGGACCAGGATAAGCAGTGATAAAACCCCTCAGTTTAAGACACTGACACATGCTAAAGCATGGTGAACCTTGAAAATATTATGCTCAGTAAAATAAACCAGACACAGAGGACAAATGCTGTATGATTCCACTAGTACAAGATAACTGGAATAGGCAAAGTCAGAGAGACAGGAAGTAAATGAAAGGTAGGGTCTGGTAGAAGGGAAGATGGGGGTGATTATTTAGTGGGTACAGAGCTTCTGTTTGGGATGATGAAATAGGTCTGAAAATGGACGATGTTGATGGTTTCGCAACTGTGAATGTATTTAGTACCTATGAACTGTACACTTAAGAATGGTTAGAATGGTAAATTTTACGTATAATTCACCACAATAAAACAAAACCTCTATAAAGAGGGGGGAAATATACAGATGACTATAGTACATGGCATGGAAGCTAGAAGACACATAAAAAGGAAACACAACATGGTGCAAATGAGGTAGGGATGGCTAATGAAAAAATGGAACCACACACACAAAAGCACCTTGACCCCTTAGGAACTGGTTTTGGGTCATGATAAATAGTATACTTCTCTCACACTAACATGGTAAGTCTTTGTTTTATTAGGGTTCTATGAAAATACAGTGTCTTCTCTTCAGCTGACAAAGATCCAGGACCAAATACATGGGTGAATTTGAGCTGGGGGTGGCAGGGCAGGATTGTGCTTGAGTAGTAAGGGCAGAAATTGCCCTGGGAGCTTTGAGGCAATAATGATGGGGAGCAGGTGGATTCAAGGGCTGTTAAAGGACACCAGGGGGGTTCCTAACCACTCATTCCCAAGGTGCTTATGCGTGTGACAAATACCACAGTGTCAGTAACCTTAATATCTCAGCGCAGATGGATTGCTTCGTCCACCTCTAAGGCAAATTTGAGTCAAAGCTCAAAATGCAGACATTTCTTCTCCTTAAGGGGAATTCTTCTCTTACCTCCCAGATCTTCTCCAGCTGTTCAAGGATGTCAGAAACTCCAGGAAACAAAGGCTGACCCTGGAACATTTCAATAAAGATGCAGCCTGCACCCCTAGCAAAGGAAACAAGAGTCAACCGAACACTTTCAAGGAAACCATACATATGGAACTGAACTACTAGCATACCTCCTCCCAAGAAAAACTTTGGGGACAGTTAAATAGGGGCTACATGCTTTTTTTTTTCCTACATGAGGAAAAAAAGTCGCTATGTCCAACAAAAATAAGAACAGCCTGCAGCTTTTTGTTAAAATGGAATGCAACCAGCACTTAGGAACACAAGATAGATAGCAAGCATCTTAGCTCATTCAAGTTCATTAACTATCCATTTTATGGGAAGAGGGGGAAGTACTGAATCTCCAAATTGAATACTCCTTTTTTCTGAATCTAGATGCTATCACTGTAAAAGGCACCATTATTGTATGTACTATTAAGAAATGAAAAAAACCCTCCAAGTTTAACTATGACATGATCAGAATGTTTCTTTTATACTTCTTGAAATGGTTGTCATACACTTAGATTATTTTATCATATATCACACTTGCACATGCAAAAAACAGAACATGAAGTGAAATAAATTGGTTTAGGTACTCCTAAAACTTGTCTGCATGGAGCATTTGACTCAGACTCTGATGCCTGTGTTTATCCACTACTGTCCTATATATAAAGAGTTTGATGATGCAGCATTTCTTAAAGTAATCCATAAAAAAACTGAGAGCCATTGGTATTGGGCTCCTAAGCTGACCTTGCAATTATGTAGAGTTAGTCTACTTTTTACTCTTGCTTAAAGAATGTTGTCAAACATATCTGATTCACTCCCTCTCCACAGCCATTGGTTCCTAGGGGTTAAAAAAAAGAAGAAGAAGGAAAAAAAAGCTTTCCTGTCTTCAAAACTTTCTTCCAAGTTGCTGCCACCCATTCTGCAACTGTTGATGCTGGCATGTTTGATGTTTACACATGTGCAATGGTGACTATAGTCACAGTTGCCACCTGGCTGATGGCTATTGTAAGATCCATCCTGATTTAACAGAGAATGTGCTTCTTAAGATAGATCAAATTGGGTGAAATACAAATTTTCTTTCCTATCTAGTCAAACTGGAGAGTAATTTCCAGTAGTAAGGAATTCCCAGGAAGGAGTAAGATTTATTTTGCTAATAATGCACATTTTTATTCTTATAAGTCTTTGAGTGATAAAAATGGTGCAGGTGACTGATTACAGAGATTATCCCCATGGTTCAGCACTTGACTCCAAATCCCTTTCACCATAATACATGATTTTGCAAATTGCCTTAATCAACTTGACATTTTTTTGTGTGGCAGACAAAGACAGATATTTAAGAAAAATATTTTATTATAGATCATCATATTATTAAAGATTTATTATCAAGTTCATTTTAAATATGGTATTAATATTACTCATGTATTTGCTACACATGATAAGTTTTTACTTTTCCTATCTGATTGTAGATACATACTATTTAATTTACTTTAAATTGTGTAGGAGAAAGATTTCTTGATAAACAAGTTTAAGGATAATTTTCATCTTGTGTCTTATTTGGGAAGAGAATAAATAGTTTTTTTAAAGATTGAAATTTAGCTGTATCTCATGTCAAAAGAGACAAAACCTGTTTTTATAACCTAATATTTGGTTTGCATTTATAATAATCAACTAGCTTATTCTTAGAATTTTGTGTGTGTGTGTATATGTATATATATATATAAATGAAAGATGGCCTAAGTTTTTCAAGCAGTTTTTTTTCCTCCCTGAAACATCAGGTTGTTTTTATCCCCAATTTCAAAAGAGCCAATTTGGATGTAATGGCCACCAGATTTACTTTTCACTGATTTTTCATGTACAAGAGAAACAAGATACAAGAATTTTGATCAGACAAATATAATTTAAGAATCTGGTGAATAGCTGAAGGGAATTTTTAAAATTCTTGTCATTTCCAGGCTCCTCATTAGTTTGTAGTTAAATATCCATCTTTTTTTTTTTTTCTTTAAAGCAACAAATATAAAAGGTATAAATTAAACAACATATGGAGGAGAATCAAAGTAATGGAAAACTGTCAAATGTTTAAAAAGCATCCCAGTTGCTAGATACTGAGTCGGTGAATGTCCTCGAATGGTCTCCACCCACTAGAAGGCCCCAGGGCATCATCAGTAGGATTCAGAATCAGAATCACAGCTAGGTTTAAACCTGTAGTCCCCTTTTTCCCTTCCCCTCAGAAGGCATTCAGTGCTTAGAAAAAGCTTGTTGTCTTTTCATGTTTTTTCTTATTAGTGGCTGTGGGGAACCAAGATGTCCTTTTTACACAATTTCTTAATGACCTTTACCTTCTAGTACACCAGGATGGTGTACAAAATTATGTAAAATATATTGGAGAAAGCTGGATATTAAGGCCATTATGCAAGAACAACAAAGTAACAAAAGATGTTTGTGTTACATAATAAAATGATATTACTTGGTTGAAATTCTCCTTTGTATTTATATGGTTGGTGCCTTATAGGCATTCTCTTGAGCCTTTCTTTTTAAGCTTCAGTTGGGGGCAGGTTAAAATCTTTCTCACTGAACAAATCTAGAGTCTAAGGTTATGTATTTTTATATATACATGTCATGTATGTGTGCGCGTGCACCTGTGTGGCATGGATGAACTTAGAACATAGATAAACAATTCCTAAGTCGATTCTACTACAGTTTCTGGAATATCCATAAATACCGTAAATATCAATGCATTGGCAAGAAAATAAGTCCGTGCACCTTAAGTTTGAAAGATGAAAGATATTTTCTAGGTGTAAGCATTGTTCTTTAAAAACTATACAATTCATCGTTCTATTTTTAAATTTGTTCTTCAAAACTTTTATTTTTTTATTTACTTCTTATACAAGTTTGTATGGCTTTCATACTTTTGATTTACTTCTTACCCAAGTTGTGTGGCTATCATCTATTTTGCCCACCTCAGACTAGCCTTAAGCAAACACTGAAAATATCCTGAACATTCAGGTCTAAATAGGGAACCAGATTCTATTTCTTTTTATTTCTCTGTTTTGTTCTTAAATCTTCATTCCTCTGGCTCTTCTCACCCTGCTTATCGTTAGGCTTCTCAGACAATTTTTGCTCTGTGGAGATACCCTTGGGGCAGCCCATGTAGATGAAGAGGAACTTCACATGCAGGGGAAAAAAAGGTGGAATCAAACTGTGAACCTTTCAGAAAGCAGAGACACACGGGGTCATTTTATTGCTCCAACTGTCATTTTACTGCTTCAACTGTGGTTCTTCAGTTAAGTTAGAGGTAACAGCTTACATGTTTTCTGCTTTTTCTGGCTATCTTCCTAACCTTTTCTCTATTCTAAGCATGAACAAATTCTTTTATAGAGAGAAAAATATTCCTCAAATTCCTGAGGCCATCTCTGGGGAAATAAACCATCTCACGAGTTTTAGGTTTTCCAGAGGTGTAGGAAGCATATAAAAGTGTTGTTGGAAAAAATGAATCAGTATTTCATTTTTTACTGTTGAAATTAATTCAGAACAATATAATACATGGCAGTGACATGACATTTCTGTTTCCTTTCCCTTGGGCTGCTCTTTACATTTGGAAGTTTGTAGCAAGAAATCTGCAGTCTCTCAGGCAGGGACAACTTTCCTTAGTCTTAAAACCCGCAGATGCCTGAGGTCAGTTTTGACTAGAGGACTTTGTGTGTCAAAATGAATCCTTCTTTAAAACCCAGTTTACCACAACATGGATGAGCCCTGAAAGCATTATGCTAAGTGAAATAAACCAGACATGGAAGGACAAATATTGTATGATTCCACTTACGTGAGAATAGTCAAATTTATAGATACAGAAAGTAGAATAAGGGTTGACAGGGGTTGAGGGGAGTAATAGGAAGTAATGGTTTAATGGGTATAGAGTTTCAGTTAAAGATGATGACCCATTTTGGAGATGGATGGTGGTTTTGGCTGCACAGCAATGTGAATGCACTCAATGCTGCTGAATTGTGCATCTGAAAATGATGAAAGTGGTAACTTTTAAATATAGTACAAAAAAGTGAAAGCAAAAACAAAAACAAAAAAACAATGTAATCATCCTAAAAATCATCCTAAAAAATCCTAACAGGAGTTTTCCTCACTGAAGTAGTTAATGGAATCTTTTAAGTTCAGGCATATTACATAAAGAGAGAAGAAAAGATGTTGGGAGATTAGAGAATGCTGGCTGGAAGTCCTGTGAATAACCAGTATGTCCTACTTGTTTATTTGCCATAATCTGCTTCCGGTCCTTCTGCTGACCTGTGGCTTCCAGGGCTCATTGTGAACAAGAGGCTCTTGCACTGTATGTTATAATTATTTTCTTTAAGACAAAGGCTCTAATGCTCACCCACAGTCATATGCCTCCTCTAAAGGCATTCAGTTGGTGCCCTATGGGGTTGCAAGATAGGATTCCCCCCCTTTTTCTCCTTTGTCAATTGGAATCTTCTCCCTATGCACTTCCCCTCTTACCACTCTGAAAAGAAAAAAAATGGGAAGTGGAATCTCAATATAAACACCTAAGGCCTAACAATTACGTAGAATGAACAAATACAGTAAGCTCAAGGAAGATGCCTATTGTTCTATTTCTACATTACTTCTTGAGTTTTACTGGGCAAATAACAGTAACAATAGAATAAATAAGAGTAATGACAATAATTTTAACTTACAACTGAATTTTCATTTTGTAAGTGTTATTCTTCATCACTAAATTTATGAAACACTTATCAATGAAATAACATACATTTTTGTATATACAGTAAAGAGGTAAGGAATACATAGTTTAAGAAAGACTTAAACAACTGGTAAGTGAGCTGAAAGAATTACCCAGAATGCAGTAGAGAAAGTTAAGGAGACAGAAACTATAAAGGAGAGGATATGAACTGTGAGTAATAGAAAGATATGGTCTAATAATCTTTCACTGGAGCTCGAGAAAAGAGAATGGAAGAGAGACAACATTCAAAAAGAAAAGGACTGATGAAAGACAGTTCATCATTGGAAGACGCACCATATATACCAAGCAAGGTATATAAAGAGAAATCCACACTAGACACTTGATAGTGAAAGATCCATGATAAAAAAAATTTTTTTTAAATCTTTCAAACACCCAAATAAAATGAGAGATCACCTG